TTACTCAATGGAGAATATGCTTATTGTTCAATGTTTGCATCTTCATTGTTCTAAACTTAAAGAATTAAAACACAAATAATTGAATAAAGTCTATTTTCTATTTTAGGCGAAAGAATTAACGACAATGAGAAAAATCAAATGTCATTAGCACGTTTGGCTGAATTCAAATCGATAATGGAATACTATTTTGATTTTAATCAGAAAGAAAAGGTTTCTTTTTGTTTTACTCTCACAAGACATACATTTGTTCTATTTTGATGCCATTTGTGTTTCTAGTTTCGACGTATGCATAAACTTCGTCAAGATCAAGCTAATTTACCGATAGCTGCTTATCGTGATGAAATATTGGATACATTGAAAACAAATCAAGTTATTTTAGTAGCCGGAGATACTGGATGTGGTAAGTGTGTGCTAGTCATTTTCACTCTATTATTATGTCATTGTTGCTCTGTTATTTTTTGTAGGAAAGTCAACACAAGTAAGGAGTTTTTATTTGTCCGGTTTTCTCTCTTACGTATTAAGAGTATTTCTAGGTCAACTGTCTACTCTCTTAGATTCCACGATATCTTTTGGAAGCTGGTATTGATAAAATTGCTTGTACTCAACCGAGACGAATTGCGTGTATATCATTAGCGAAACGTGTGGGATATGAGACATTAAATGAATATGGAGATCAAGTCGGATATCAAGTACGAGAAACAATTTAGCATATAATCATCGTGACCCACAATGATATACTACTTTTAGGTTCGATTTGAAAAAACAAAAACAAAATCAACACGAATTTTATTTATGACAGAAGGTATATCGAATCGATATGTGAATGACTAATAAAAATCTTTATATAACATGAATTTTGATTAGGTGTGCTCCTTCGTCAAGTCCAAGGTGATTCAGCATTATCCGACTACGATATATTAGTTATTGATGAAGTACATGAACGACATTTATTCACCGATTTTATCTTAGGAATATTGAAATGTTTAATAACACAACGACAAGATTTGAGAATTATTCTCATGTCAGCAACAATCAACATTGACTTATTTGCAAATTATTTTGGACAATGTCCTGTTGTTAAAGTTCCTGGACGATTGTATAAAATACAAGTGAACTATGTTCCAATAAAGGCTGAAGAATCATCATCAAAAACAGCTAAAATCGATGTAAAACCATATTTGAGAATAATGGAACAAATTGATAATAAGGTTTGCCTTATTTGAAGCTATACATATTGAAAGAAAAAAGAAATTTGTATTTTTTTAGTATCCATCGACCGATCGCGGTGATCTCCTAGTATTTCTTAGTGGTATGGCTGACATTCAAACTATCATGGATGCAGCAAAACAGTATTCACTCGAAGCACAAAGATGGATTGTTTTACCATTACACAGTGCCCTATCACTCGACGAACAAGACAAAGTAATTAACTAATTTTACTCGTCGATTTGTTCATATCTTGTATACAATGAAAAAGTATATTTGTTGATACTAGAAAAATTATTATAAACTAAGTTCATGTTCTAGGTATTTGATATTGCTCCTGAAGGTGTTCGAAAATGTGTTTTAACGACGAATATCGCCGAAACAAGTGTAACTATTGATGGTAATGACGTATATTTATAAGGGATAAAATGGATTGTTGATCATGATTTCATCTATACGTAGGTATTCGTTTTATTGTTGATAGTGGAAAAGTCAAAGAAATGTCCTATGATCCACGTTATAAAATGCAACGTCTTCAAGAATTTTGGATTAGTCGAGCGAGTGCTGAACAACGGAAAGGACGAGCTGGTAAGTTATTTTCTTTTTCTCAAAAATTTAATAGATAAAATAAAAATCTACTCTCAATATGTAGGTCGTACTGGTCCTGGTGTATGTTTTCGTTTGTATAGTGAACAAGAATACGTTAGTTTTCAAGGTAATAAATATAAATTTACGACGTTTTCTCTGAAAATATGACATTTTATATTTAGAATATTCTACGCCCGAAATAAAACGTGTCCCCTTAGATTCACTCATGTTACAAATGATTTCTATGGGATTGCTCGATCCAAGAAAGTACGTTGTGAATGTGTTACATATGTTAAAATTTGAGACTTGAAATTTGAGAAGGCGTCGACTTATCCAGCTCTATACCAGTTTTATACATCTCTTTTTTATTTAGATTTCCATTTGTTGAAGCACCTGATATGCTATCAATTGATAATGCACTTATACGTTTACAAGAGCAAGCTGCCCTATCACCAATTGATTGTTCACTAACTACGATCGGTACTATGTTGGCACGATTACCAGTTGATGTTACCATTGGAAAAATGTTAATAATGGCTTGTGTTTTTCAATTTGTAAATCCAATATTAACAATGGCTTCAGCTTTAAGTATTCAATCACCATTTCTTAGTTTCTTACAATGTGATCCCGATACCATAACAAAACGACGACCATTAATGTCTGATCATGGTGATCCATTTACACTATTAAATACATTTGATGAATGGGTACATATAAAAGCTGATGGTACAAATACTCGAATGTGGTGCAAAAGACGGGGAGTTGAAGAACAACGGTTATATGATATAACAAAATTAAGAAAACAATTTAAAGATCTATTAAAAGTATGTACATTGAGAGTTTAATGATTCTCAGAAAGATGAATAAATTTGGTTTTCTTTTTTCTTTTTAAGGATTATAATATGGAAATCGATTATCGTGAAACAAAAGTTCGTTCAGCATTTGAACGTCGTGAACATAATCGAAAACGTCAACAATTAAATGTTTTAAAATCTGAACATGAAAAAGAATCAAACCAACGAAAAATATTAAAATTAGAGGTATAGACTATATTTGTCTTTTCTTAACAGTTATTTTCTAAAATTTGTTACATTACAGAGCCATAGTTTCAATATAAATTTAATGAATAATATAGCAATTTTAAAATCTATCGTTTTCTTTTACTAAAAGTGATATTTCGTTCTAACAGAGATTGTTCAACATAAAACTGTACATATATACTTATACTACATTAACGTGTGCCAACACAAAAACAGTAAATAATGATCAATATTATTAAAACATATCTTTTTGAGCGAAAATAGAGAGATTATCGATAATTGCCTTCATCTGTCCGGTTATTGGTAGCATTAGTCTTTTGTTTCTACAAATTCTCATTAGTATATTTTTTATCAACACCATCGTAAAAGATGTAAAGAAGAACTGAAGAAAGAGAAAAGAAGAATCTATCCGTTCGATTTAGTGTAGGATTAGTGGCACGAATGACAAGCAATTCTTTTAGAAGTAGTCTGTATTTATGGTGTTCACTAAGGCAAATTTTAAAATTGTTATTCGTCATCGTATGTCTGACTATTTTATAATGGTGACCGATCACTGATTTTACCTCATATTATCCAATGTACATGATCGAGTTATTGGACCTAGTCCTGATTCGTTGAGATGAGAAGGAGTAGCTATTGGAGCGGATTTGTATAGTTTTGTTACCATAAATAAATTTCGGAGGTATAATTTTCTTGAGATCCAAGTGTTTGTTAACTCGTCGACAAGTGTTGGTATGTTTGTGTGACATACATGTCTCTGTAGGTCAGACACATTGCTTCGTAAATTAAAAGAAAATGATAGATTTTAAAATTGCTGAATTATGAATTGAAGTTATTTCTACCGTCTGTCTTGGTGTGATTTTAGGATGCGTGTGTAACGAGTACAATGGATATTGAAGATGATAATTTAACGAATGTGGTGATGAAAACGACCGATAAAATTCGAGATATTGAATTTAGATTAAGAAATGATATTACAGAATTGAAGGTAAAGTAAAAAAACAATTAATCAATATAATTTTTCAATAAAACGTAGTTTTTGATTTAGGAAATATCCAATGAGAGTAAACATTATTCATCCAAAGATATAAATATGTTAAAACTGATTTTGGTTAGTGGTCTCTATCCACAAGTGGCTATTGCTGACGATTATAACAATTATAAACGAGATTCTGATCAATTTTTTCATACAAAAGTATGTTTAGAGAAAGGCAAATAGAACTTGTTTTTATATTCATTATTATTTAGACGAAACAATTTGTTGTTCTACATCCAACAAGTGTATTTACCTACGATCCGGATTTATTGCAACCTCCACCAGTCTCGAAAACTGTTACAGGAGATGGAGGAAAAAATAAAAAAATATTCAGTAGTCAACACGAGTTAATTGTTTATGTGTAAGTTGATCATACAACACTTTGTCTATGTGACAAAACAGTTCTAGTTGATTATCATCGATTTCCTTGTAGTACATTATTGGAAACAAATAAACCTTATCTAATGAATGCAATGCGCACACCAGCAATGCAAACATTATTATTATACAGTGCCACATTGGATACAAACAATGATTTTAGTCGAATATTATGTGACCAATGGCTTGAAATTCAATTTGATAATGTTGATCAAGCTCAATCACTTATATCGTCTGTGTTGTTATTACGAAATGCTCGAGATCTTCTTCTACGTTTAACACTACAGGATTCAGGTCAAAAAACGGGTGTGGATATTGAATTAATATCAAAACCACACACATATGAATTACAACATTTATTATCATTGAAAATGACAGAATTTTTATCTAATTCAACAATTTATGCATTAAGAAGAGTATTGCTAGCTGAATTAGAAACAATTTATCGAGGATATGGAAATGATGAAGACGATATTGAAACTAATCGTATGTAGTTCTATTGATTATGATTAATTAGTGGAAGATCCCACCTTGAATTAGTTGACAATTACTCAGACGGCTTGTCCAGCTAACAGTATCATTTTTTCGCTCTTTTTCAAAGAACTATGGCAATAAAGTTAGAAAATAATTTAAAATTACAACTAGATAATTAAGTAGATTAAACATTTCTCTATAAAATGAAAAGTGCCTCGGCTCTGAACGTTGATTCGTTATGAAAATACATCTGTTGTACAAACAGCCTCGAACTTGACAAGCTATCACATCTTATAGAACAAACAATTTTCTACAAACTGGTATACTTGTTCAATTTTTGCCAGCTCGTCTTCACCCTTTTAGACACGCTTTTTAGATAGCCTCAACATTGATTTTTGAGGCTGTTTGTACAACAGATGTGTTTTCATAACGAATCAACGTTCAGAGCCAAAGCACTTTTCATTTTATAGAGAAATGTTTAATCTACTCAATAATCTAGTTGTAATTTTAGATTATTTTCTAACTTTATTGCCATAGTTCTTTGAAAAAGAGCGAAAAAATGATACTGTTAGCTGGACAAGCCGCAGAGTAGAAAGTAATTGCCAACTGCCTCAAGTATTAAATAGGAGATTTTGCTGAGTAAGGTTAGACTAATGGAACTGAACTGATAAAAGTTCATGATTGATCGAAACCATTTAAGTGGTGCTTAAAGTGGTTTAATTTGTTTCAAATACATATTCGCGATTGGGATTACTCTTCTTTGTCGACTCTTCTAGTGCATAATAGTCGTCAATTATGTTCTCTGTGCCTTTCTCCTTTCGATATTATAAGAAAAAGCCTTTGAACTTCAAGTATTAAATTTATAATTCGAGTGAAAAACGAATTTTTTCTATGCTGAGAGCTTAGACAACTAACTCAATTTTGTACGATCAGAGAGTTTAAATAATTACGTGATGTTTTGCGTCAACTTGACGAGCATACTCCTTCTGTGAACATATTTTCCAAAAACTTTTTAGTAAGCTAAAAAATCGTTAAACACAAAGTGACTTCGATCTCCAATTCTTACAACATTTATGTATCTGTACAATTGCATATATAAGCAGTTTTCAAGTCATAGCATACGCCTTGATGATCATGAATGCTGTTTGTATGAAAATAAAAAAATATTAGACAACTGTTCGTTCTGACAGAAGCTGTTGAGCCATACAAAAAGAGTTTAGTAGCTTCATCGATAATCGGAAATGAAAATTTTACACATTTCATTGATTTATTTTGTAAACAGCTTTTATCGTTAATCAAAATCCTGACTTTCCCTCTAAGCACACGAAGAACGCAAACAATTTTAATTTTTCGAACATTAAAAGTTGTCTGCATATGCGACAACACCTGGATTTTTATCTGAACGTGTGTATTGAAGAGAATGATCTACTTTACAAAATATGAGAACAAGATTATAACATTCAGAGAACATTTCTAAACGTGAGAGCAATTGAAAAAACACCTAGAATAATAGTCTGGACGAGGAATAAAACTGTCTAAATGTAAGATTCTCCAGCTATATTATTTGTTCACTCATTCTGACGTTTAGAAATGCTCTCTGAACGTTACAATCTTGTTCTCATACTTTGTAATGTAGATCTTTCTCTTCAATACACACATTCATAGATAAAAATTCAGGTGTTATCGACCACATATTATCATTTGCATCCACATATCCATTATTGAAACATGTGGTTCGACTCCACTGGTTGATGAATGAAAGAGAAAACATTGTGTACAAGACAGTCATAGCGCTCACATACCTATTTAATTCATGAGAAAACCTATTTTTGATCCGTCTAACGTCTCGAATTTTTCTCTTATTGTTGAATGATGTTGTACTATTACAATAGGACAGCAGAAAGACAAAGCGATAATTATTATAGTCATAGCAACTATAAACTCGATTCGAATAATTCTTGTAGAATTCAGGTGTAATACAGTTTTCCTTTGAATGCGTTCTATATAGTACATAATCTATCATACAAACTAAGAATTATTATTTCTTTTGTTGTTTAGATAAAAGTGCTCTAAAAGGTGGAACAAAAATCAATGAATATTTAACGTATAACTGGTATGTTTAATAATATCTACTAAAATAAAGACAGACAGAAATGATATATTTTGTCTTTATAGTCTTTCATCTGAAAATGAACATTGGTCTGACTATGCTGGCCCAATGCAAAAACATTTTGTTTGTCAATATTGTAATGAAGATTTATTATTAGATTTAGCAGAGCGAATTTTACATGAAAATGAATGCCAGATTAGATGTAAGTAGTTATACACTGTTATTTGTTCAATATTTTTGTTGTTGTTATTTTTTATAGCCTTGACAAATAATGATGATTCATTATTTAAATCTGATAAGGTTGATTCCCAAGTGGATCCATTAAAAAATGAATCATCTACGAAAATAATACCGCCAACAGCGAAAGATTATTATTGTGATATATGCTTAGAAACATTCAAATTGACTAGTATTGAAATTTTAAGACATCGTACAACTCATCAGTCATAGTTTTTTGTGTTATTGTTAATTTTTTAAAATTAAATCAGATGTATATAAGACGGATGACTATACATGGACACGTCAAATAGGACTTTAAACATTTCTCTCCTTGTTTCTATGACAAGTGAAGAAACATTCTTAAATGTAGCCATTATACTATGTTAAATATGTTGTTTTCTTCGTAAACATATTCGAGAAAAACTCATCTAACTCTATGGGTACTTATCTTATTGACAATGTTATGTTCAGGCGAGGAGATTTATGGTTTAGATAATCTACCAAGATCAAGTAGATTAAATTTACCGCAGATCTACGATAAATGATATCGATTGAACATGAATGTTATTATGAATAAATCAGCAGCGAATGACACAAGGTATGATGCAACAGGTAGGGATAAAGTAAAAAGATATACTTACTCAATGGAGAATATGCTTATTGTTCAATGTTTGCATCTTCATTGTTCTAAACTTAAAGAATTAAAACACAAATAATTGAATAAAGTCTATTTTCTATTTTAGGCGAAAGAATTAACGACAATGTCAAGATCAGGCTGATTTACCGATAGCTATTTATTGCAGAGATGGGCAACTCCGGCTAAGTTCGACTCCAGCTCCACTTAAAGAAGTTCAACGCCAACTCCAACTCCGTTTCAACTCTGACAGGAACTTATTTTGAGAGAACCAGACGAACGACATATTTCCATTTGAAGTATTTTCTAATTTTACAGGGATATCAGCGGTTATAACAACACACGGTGTGGATAAGTGAGCAAGAATAATCCAGTGCGTCGACATAAAGTTTCGTTTTCTTTTCTGTGTTTTTCTTCCAGATCATTCTGCTGTAACGTCGATTCACAGAGAATAGGTAATTCTGTAGAAGAGGGAGAACAGTGATAAAAGAATAATACAAAAGAAATAGAAATGGGAAAGGAAAAACGAGAGACTTGTTTCGATCAACTCTCATGTGATCACTGTAGAAAGCAGTGAAATGCAAATTTTTAACTGGAGTTGTAGAGTTGGAGTTGACTAAATCTTAACTCAACTCAACTCAAATCTAATAAAAACGCAACTCCAACTCCACTAAAAAGAAGCTCAACTCCAGAATTGGAGTCGCCCATCTCTGGTTTTTATCGAGATGAAACGTTGGATGCATTGAAAACAAATCAAGTTATTTTAGTTGCCAACATTTATTCATCGATTTTATCTTAGGAATATTGAAATGTTTAATGACACAACGATAAGATTTGAGAATTATTCTCATGTCAGCAACAATCAACATTGACTTATTTGCAAATTATTTTGGACAATGTTCTGTTGTTAAAGTTCTTGGACGATTGTATAAAATACAAAACAGCTCATCAAAAACAGTTAAAATCGATGTAAAATTTGCAGTCAAGTTTAAGTAGAGTGTTTATATGACATTACTGTGTGAACAAGCAAAACATGTAGAAACACAATTCATCACAAAAGACAAATTTTGTTCGGATTTAGATGAACAAAAGTCAATATTTTCTCGCCTAGTCAATGATATCCGTCGTCGGGCTGAAAGTCTTCAACAACGTGAATAAGAACACCAAAATATACATCTGCAACCATTTGCTTTTAACGCTCCTTTATTGGCATTGCCTAGTTTAACCAGTTTAGAAACTGGTGCTAATACGTATTATACTATCGACTAAATAAAAATATCTGCGATTGTGAATAGTAGATTGAAACTGCGCACGTTTTTGGAGAAAGCTTTTTCAACGAAAATTGATGCTCTAAAATTTTTCTAACAATCGAGCTTTGTAAAGCAAACATTTTTCTACCAGATTAGGCTCATCTTGTAGAGAAATATTTGCTCCTCCAATGAGCTATGAGGGGAGTATTCTTCTTCTTAGATCTAACAATACTTACTCTCTAATAAAACTTCTTAAAAGTGGTTATACCGGGTCCAGGGCTCGTTGTCGAAAAGCGATTTCGAAAGAAATAGAAAACATAAAGGCTGAAAGAAAGTCAATAATCGGATCAGATTATAGAAAAATCGTCTTAATATTCATCAGTGTTAATTAGTGCTTATCAGTTTTTAAGCCATAGTCATCAACCGACCATACTTCCCTCATTCGGAGTAGCCGATTTAATTTTAAATGGCTGGAAGAAAGTAAAACAACAACTTTTTCTTTCCCGATAGCGAAGTCTCATGTTTTAATAAAAAATTATACCGTGTTGCAGAAATTTTTCTACTTTAGTTCTCATATGAGTCGTCGGTCATTCAGATTCGTTCTCAATTAATTCTGAAATTACAAAAATAAAAGATACCCGTCATTTTTTTCTATATACGTACTGTGAGGCAATTACAGCTAGTACATGTAGTGACATATGGAATAGACAGAAAACGGCTTCGAACGTCTGTCAGAAGCCGATTTTGATTCTATGTCTAATGACAAAGTTATTTAAATGTCTGAACTGTATCACATGTTAAAAGTGGAAACAAATTGTTAATTTTAAACACATTTTTGTTGATTAAAAAAATAATTAAACTAGAATTTCCGTATTGTCATTGATTACAGCTAATTTCATTTCTTATTTTATTAATCAATTTTAATCTGAGCTTTTGAATCACCGATTGATTCATTAACAGAGTTAAAAATATTAAAATTTAAAACTACACAATCAATAAAAGTAAAGATGTTAAAAATTTTAAAATTTCGATAAATATCTTTTTCGTTTTTATAAAATATGTATAAATGTCTGTGATGACCTGACCTGTACAGGAGAACTGTAAATCTAATTAGAGAAAAAGAGAAAGAAGGAAAAGAATGCAAAGAATACATTAAGTCTTGGAATATTCTTATCTGACCTAGATAAACACTATACACCTACAGCAAAAATATGAAATATAGTTGACAATGGATTAATCTTTTCACATATTTAGCTAATTATCATACTTTTTCTTTTTCTTTTCACATCAGACCAATGACTGAAAGAAAGAGACTTCTCGGGGAAAATATATAAGGATATTGATCTATCTGTGTCATTAAACTCTGGTGTATTTGTACTAATTATAGATAGAGATTCTCTTATCAGTAGTCGACAAGGTATATAGGGTGTCCGTAAAGTCTTTAGAGTTAGAAAATGTTCAATATTTTCTTTATTCTTTACCGAAATGAGCTAATTTTTTTTCTGAGTATAGTAAGCGGATAGAAGTGTCTATTCATCACAAACAGTTATTAACTGTTCGAACAGTTAATTTTTCGTGATTTAGTACATTTTAGAATGCTCTAAGTTTTCTCAGAAATGATTCTGGAATTCTTTTAACAAATGCATTTTGTAGAGCAAACATTTGTCTACAAAATTAGATGTTTTGCAGCTCTGAGAGAATCGTGATAACTGATTTGTAGCAATTCTCTCGAATGTCCCAACACCAGTTAATAACTGGTACTAATTCTATTACTTATAGCGTTTAAAAAATTGTTTGTTTTACGTTCATAAATGGCCTGTTTTGTGATGAATAGACACTTCTATCCGCTTACTATACTCGGAAAAAAAATCAGCTCATTTCGGTAAAGAATAAAGAAAATATTGAACATTTTCTAACTCTAAGGACTTTACGGACATCCTATATAACTTTAATTAATAGAATGGCCCGCTTGAACTCTATGTTTGTTTAGCGCTGATGTAGATTTAAATTCAGCTTGTGTTCTATTTGAATTATGTAATGAAAATGTAAGCTCTGTCTTCAATTTTTCTGTGAATTTTTACATACACAAATTTTCTTATTCTTATTAATATTTAGGAAAGGTAGATTAGAAGTTATTTCCATTAAAGCTTTAGAAACATCTTTTTTCATGCTCATTTAAACGTCTACTCGTTTGCCTTATACTTTTCCCAAATATAACTGCTATCACAATTATCACAGTTAATATTATAAACAATTTCTGAAATTTGGTTTAAATTTAATTTATTTTTATTCAGAAAATAGCTTTTTATTATGTTAGGGATCATAAAAATCACTCTTCAGAATTAGGATTATTTTTATTTACAATATTTTTTAGTTGTCTTGCATATGTATGGCTCGATTTCCCGACGTATGGTGATTCTATAAAATAGGCTGTTTTCTTAGCTTGTTTTGGTATTTGATTATTCATTTATAAATGAGGTATTCGATTTTTTTGAAGATAATAACAATTGTATGTACACAACAATTATTGATTTTTTTATTTAAGAAAACTGAAGCTTTCGATTCCGATCTGTAATCATCATCAGCTATAGTTTACAATAAAAAACCCGATACATCCAGTCGATCTTTCTCATTCTTATTTTTCGTTTTTTACTTTTTACTATTCACTCACTCATTTATTATTTTATCTGTGTACTAATATGACTAAAAATGCTATTTTTTTGGTTTCTCTTCAGATTCCATAGTAAATTTTACAGATGAATACAGTTCATTCAATTCTTTTAGTAAATTATCAGTATTTGCATTATCGGGCACTAATTTGAAAGTATCATCCACATAGCGTCCCCAGACCGACAGTTTTGAACCACGACTAATAAAATTAGAAATATGTTTTGTTTAGAAATTAGACATAAAAATTTCAGCAAAAATTTCAGCGAGAGGAGATCCCATAGATACTCTGTCGATTTGTTCGTAATATTTATTGTTAAACATAAAATGCGTACCACTTGTGGCATTTTATGATAAAGGTCCTGCCATTAACAAAAGTCAATAGTTTAAACTAGAGTCATACTTAGCAGTCAAATGCACACTAACATGAAAACGGATTTTCATCATTTTGAAGCCAAGATTTTGACACATCTTTATACAAAGTGAAGAATTGAAAATCCTTTTTGAAAGTAGAGTTTTCAAGAAACCTTTGAAAAAACCGGTTCATATCTCAAAAAGTTCACACAATAATGCTTTCGTTTTTTAAATAGATAGATGGCGCAGAGTGTTCTCTTCAAAAGTCGATTTGGTTGTCAGCGGTTCAAGTGTGATATCAGATTTTTCAGACGTCCCAAGATTAGTACCTGGTGGCTTGGAGTAATCTGGAAAGCGCATGGAACAGACGTAATTCATCATACTGAATCTGGCAGCAATGTTTATTTGATCTAATCTCGTTTATTGATGTAAGAGTAGAAAATCATGTTTGTTTCTGGAAAAAAATTCAAAACTTGGTGAAAACCCAATTTTGCAAATGTTAGAATTTTGCGGCTGTTTTTTCATCTAATATTAATAAACTTACAACTAGGTCAGAAAATATCAGAACGAGTTGAACAATCCAGGATATGGTTAATTTTGTTCATTAAACGTAATTATACGATCGAAAAATTGCCACGGCATATTATTATTCAACGGTTCTCTAGACACTTTTTCGAAAAACCATAGAGTTTTGTAAACTTTTTGTATATTCTTATGAATAGCATATCGAATAGCCCAGATACAGTATATTTTAGTGTTCAACTCATTCTGAAGTTTTTAGAAAGAGTTCTAAGTTTATCAGTATATTAGATGAAAACAGTTGCAAAATTCTAATATTCATAAAATTCGGTTTTCTCGCTTAACTTCAGTTTCTAGACTCACATCAACCATGCCCCAAATCGACTTGTTTCCGTAATGACCGTGGATACAGCATGATCTATTTTCTTAAGATTTTCATGTTCTAAATCAACGTCCTTGAAACTGTGGAAGAGAAATTTAAGGTTGAGAGACATACTAAAAAGAAATTTTTAATGTGAAGGTCTCTCAATAAGAGATACGTTTTCTGTAAATTTGGCTGACATGCGACTTGACGGATTAGGGTAGATTTATAACATCGGAGAAAAATAATAAAAAACTTGGCATTCATGTCACAGTGTCTTCTTTCGTTTCTTCTAATAAATAACGAGTGTCTAACAGACAAGATATAGCAGTATCGAACTTGATTATCTCTTGTCCTTTTATTTTTAATAAACTAAAAGCTAATGTTAATTAGTATAATAGACATAAATATCCATTATCGCTTGTAGAAGCAAGGTAATCATATTTCAGTGGCTATATCAAGCGTAGCTTCTATATCTGTGATTTCTTTAGCAAAATGGAAAAAGAACTTCTATTATTGATGAAATTTTGTAAATAAAAGAAGCCTTAAGCTGCCGATTCAGAAACAAAAAGGAAATTTACCATTAAGTACATTGACCTTTCTATAATTGATATGTATAAATTTCTTGTCTTTCCTGTTGAGCATCATTTTCATGCTGGAAATTAATAGGTCTTAAAAAACCTTCTTTTTTTTCTCAAAGAACTTATTTTGGGAAGTTTTTTATAAATGGTTAAAAACTGGTGTTAGGGCATACTGAAAATTTCTGCTGAATCTTATTATGACGAATCGCTAAGGGTTGTGAATGTCTCATTGTGTAGTCTAATGTTTGCTCTACAAATTTCAGCTGTCAAAAGAACTTTAAATGTGTTTTGAACAAGAATAAGATCATTTTAAAATATAGTAAATCACGCGAAAAAAACTGTTCGAACAGTCTTTTTTCACGATTTAATGACTTTTTGAATGATCACATTTCTGTCACAAATAGCTTCGAAACTTTTCTAAGATTTCGACATTATAAACCAAACATTTTTTTACAAAATGGGACATTTCACAACTCTTAGCAATTCTTCATAATCAGATTATAGCAGTTTTTCAGTATGCCCTAACACCACTTTTAACTGGTGCATACCTACTACTGTCTGTCCAAAGCTAAGATGCGGATGGCCATTTTTTGAATATCTTGGCAATGATAAGAGCTACAGATCTGCGGTGTTCACCATTTGAAAGAGGAAAGTTGGAAGCATCTTTTTACCAGAAAACCAAATCAGAAAAACTTCTTTTGTTGAAATAAGTTGTTTAGGAGATCTTTAGAAAAACACGCCATAGGTCAGAAGTTGAAGTACAAATCGATTGATTTTTTTCGATGGAAAGATAGCCCAGACTGTCTTCTTCAAAATGGAAACCTGGCGACCTCTTCATTTTCCATCGTTTACGCATGGCATCGGATTTCCTAGGAGGTCCAGGATCAGTTTTCGATGAAATTTGAGAAGCTCAAAAATGGATGGAAGTATAGATTATTGACAACGCTGAGTCTTGTTGGCAGTATTTATTTTTAGAACAAAGCCTAAAAAACTTGTGAAAATCTATACTAGGCGAAATATCCCACTTTCAGCTATTTTCACGGAAAATCAAAAAACGTATAACTCAGTCAGAATCAATGTAAACTATTTCAGAATATCAGCATATACGTCATTTTATCTTCTTAATCTGATTACGTGCTTATAATCGATCAGAAATATTCTCCAAGTTTTAAAGGTTTGGGAGAAACCTTTCATAAATCGATCTGCTTTTCCTTGATTCTCGAAACTTTTCTGAATTACAGTTTTTCTAAATTGATTTTCTGATGCAAAGATGCTTCCAAGTTTTCTCTTTCGAATGTTGAACATCGCAGGTCTATAGCTCTTATTATTACTGAGATATTCAAAAAAATGGCCACGCGCATCTTATTTTTGGATAGACAGTAATATCCCACATGATGACATTTTACATCATACAGATACGTCGAAATGTCTAACATTCCTATAATTATTTTATACAACAGTTCTTTTATATCGACTATACATTCCGTTTTTTTGACAAGTAGTTATTCAACTTTTTATTTCTTCCGCCAAAATATTACGTCTTGAAGAGCTTCATATTTTTCTCTCCCTAAATGAGTTAAGACTTCGAACATATTTTTCTCCCACTGTGTAATGACGGCATCCCTCTTGGGCATAATTTCCTTCTATTTATAAAGTACATTGTCTCTGTCTATATATAAGAATCTGAATATAAGAATTCCTGTATAGAGTTTTGCAAAGGCGTTTAATAGTAAAAATTTGCTTCAAATCTCACAGAAATGTCATAAATATGCTCGTATTTATCCATGACAGTTAAAATATGTGTAAACCATCTGATGATGTGCGTTGATTTGATATATTAGACAATTTTTTTTGAAAAAAATGTGATGATTGATATGTAAATGTGTATTGCATTAAACAGACAAATTTTTTCTGTCTTCACATACTATCCAATTTTAACATCAGTAATATAGTTAATTAGATGTCGAAAAAACGTAAAGACCCACTGTTACCCAAAGCTCTTGACTTCCACTCGATTAGGAGTGAAGGTTTGTATGAAGGTTCCCAACATGTGGAAGAGTTGAGCGAAATGAATGAGTTAAAATGACAGAGCATTTCCCCCTGATTATGCATTCTATTCATTGTCTACTCATTAAATCTTTCATAACGCTGTTTCCTTCCTCTCTGTATATCTATGTCTGTTTTAACGCTTAATGACCAAATTCGTGTGTATGTCAAAGGAATGTATCTTCTGTTGTTCTATTCGCCAACTATTTCCATTAATTAAGCACAGACGTAAGTTGTCTGTCTTCTGTTCCGTTTAAATGCTAAAAAATTTATTTTTTTTTTACACCGGAAAATGAACAAACAAGAAAACGAATATATACACAACATCTAAGATAGATAATGCACATTAAATATGGACGGAAATCTACTAATACAGCGACAGAATCTTTCTCTCGATTATGTGAATGATTGTGTACATGTATATTGTTGTTGTTGTTGTTTAAAGCTGCAACTTGCTGGATCATTTCCAATACAATATCTTGAATTATATCGCTGATGTGATATTTCTGTAATTATGATTGTTCGTGGTTTACAACCATTTCTCAATAAGTAAAGTCTATTTTTAAATTCTTCACGATATATTCTTGATAGTAAACAATTTGTGTAAAATCTTGTTGCCGATATTAGATACCAGCTAAGATAAATCAGAATGATAACCAATTTTGATATGGGATATTCGTTAACAATTGTTGAATATTTTTCTAATAAATAGGCTATTTCTGTGATTATATGAACTGAGACGAATGGTGCCACATTAATTGTAATTAATATAACCATTTGATTATCTAATCGACTTCGTCTTCGTCTTGAATGTGAGTGTATTTGTGATAATCTATGTGAATTATGGTAATATAACGTCGATGTGGAAGTTGAAACACCCGTCTCTGTACTGTTTTGACTTGAGACAACAACAGGTACCGGTGATACTGGTAAAAGATTTGAAGCAATTGACGATGTTTTAGAGGCTCGTGGTTCTGTTGATTGTTGTCGGAATCGTTTTTTCAAATTTAATGTTATTAGACATGTGCGAGTAATAGAAACGAGTATAAGTGCAATGGGTATTGTCATATAGAAAATAATGTAGACAACATGAATGAATATTTCACAAATAATATTTGATTGCATACAATGTGCATCAAAACATAACAAAGTATAGAGAATATTTTGAATTAATGATAGAATCAAGATGATCAAACAAAGATACGTAAACTTTTGTCGTGTACATAACTTTTGACTTTTAGTAGGCCATTCAACTTTGATCCAACGATCCAAAGCAATAAAAACAAATATCCACGAAAAACCAAAATATATTTCATAATTACATCTAAACAGACATGAAATCGGAATATTTTATAATGAAGCTATTTTTGAGTAAAATTAGATCTTTAAATGCATTATTTTGAAAAAAATGAAAATAGGTCTCCGTGCGACATGTAAGCATAAAATATCTCAAATGGTTTTATGAGGATTTGTTTAAACTTTTTATTCGAGAACATGCAATATATTCAGTTACAGACGTGAATCTAACGAGTTTTTGAGACGATTCATCCTGTATTATTCGATTTTCTAACAAGACACTTAGAAATTGAAGCATAGATATCCAATTTCACTGCGAATGAAAATTGTTAAACAATTTCATGTATAATTCTGTAGTGTAAAATTGTTGAAATTTTTCTCTTTTTTGTTGAAAAATCTTTCATGGTTTTTTAGATTTATCCTTGAGACAATGAAACATCTTCAAAAATAGTCCGTTATTAATGCTTTCTTTGACACTTCAAAAATAGAACTCTATTACTTTCATGCATTATCAGCTGAGAACTTTATTACAAAAAAGCGAATTACGTGTTGAACACTTTTTTTCTATGAGACTGATTTAGAATTATTTCTTGACAAAATTTTCGAGCGTACTTCCGTTTTTCTTTTGTTATTTGATAAATGGTGAGCATCTTAAACTCATAGTGAAAGTATCAATGATAATGATAAGACCTAGTTCCTTGTCTCTTATGAATGTATGAAGTCGAGTGATCTCTTTCTATGACATAAAATACCGTTTCTTTTGTTATTATTGTAGAAAAAGTATCTCTCTTACCTAAGCAAGCGATCTGACATTCATAATATGTGAGAACACGCTACTTTTTCTAGAGATTTCGAGGTTTTTTTAATCAAAATTAAATCAAATTAAAAAGTGAGAGAAAATTTTTAATACTGATAGATCTTTGAAAAATAGTAAATGGACATTTAACATTTCAATAAGAGAGTTCAAATTTCAATAGAGAGTTGATCTACGAACTAGAATCTAATAAGTGTACTGATTTAATGTATGATTGTAAAAAGTATGGTACTTACATTGTTATAAAACGACATAAATGTACAGATAATTCAAATATATTAATTTGATAAATAACATCAACAAAATACTGTAAACTCGCAATTAAGTTGAATATATCAACAAATGCCATAATAAGAAAAAGAAATCCTGTTGAATGTGTACGTAATTTTCTACTAGAAAATGTAATAATAGATAAAAGACATCCGGTATAACCCAGTATATACAACAGAATACAAACAATAGCAATTAATAATCGCAGACCAGGTATATTGACTGTTAATAATAATGTTGTTGTTGTATTATTACCAAAATTCATTGTTTTACAAAAAAAAATTGCTATTTACCGTTGTACGTAGTCAAATCTAAACAAAGAGGCTAAATGGTGAAATATGAGATTGTATTACATATATATATATTATTGTTAATTTAATACACATCTATTACTGTTTGGTCTTTCCTGTTTTGACCCCCCCCCTCCTTCTCTCTCTCTTTCTCGCTCTCTTTTTCGTTTTTTCTCTTGTCAAAAACCGGATGTTATGATGTATAGATAGATAGCAAACATAAATTTTTCCTCTTCTCTTTGTCTTCCTTCTTTTGTTTTTTTTATTTCTGTTTGATCTATTTTTTTTTTGAACCTGCAAATTGTGGTAGATAAAAATTTGAAAATATGAAGCCCTATTATTCTGTTTTTTCTTCTTCTTTAGATGTTGTTTTTTTCTCACACAAAACGATATATTTTAAGAATCTATTTCTAAGTTTAAGTTTTAATCGTGAAATTGTTGTCATACATATGCAGACAGAGTTTTAGAAAAAGGGCACATTGTATCATAATGTTAATTGATTTTTTTTCATTTAATACTAAAATAAATTATTAGATTTATGTTTTTAGAAATAAAGAAAAACATTTATATATATATATTTACGTCTTGTTGCTTTCCTTTAACAACTAAAAATATATGGAAAAATCTTTGTTTTATCATTAATGCTTTTTTTAACGATCGTTTAAAATAAGACATGCTATTTTATATTTCATTTTTTATTTTATACTACCGGAAAACAAAATAATAAGTTTTTTTAAATTAACAAAGTATTAAATAATACTCAGACTTTATTTTACCTACTTGCCATTTTAAAATATTAAATAATTAACACTATCCTTTTTACACATAATGTGAATGTATAATAAACTATTTAGAAGAAAAAATATTCTAATCTCAATTAAAATCAAAAAAAAAAAATATATTATCTCCCTCTAAAAATTTAGCATACGTACCTAACTTACAAATTCTTTGTGATTAATGACAAAAGCACTATCGATGACTAACAAATTTATCTAACAAACAATTTGTTCTGATACTTTTTGTCAATGTACTAATCGTATTAAAGACAATTCGACTTTTTCATAGAAATTTTCATATCAATCATATACCGCTTTTTCGTTACAAACACTCCAGTCAAGAAGTTTTTCAACTTGAAATCCTCTCCAAGTGAGTGTCTTTTCCTCTAGTTTATTGTTTTACTTTTTTATCGATTTTTTCACTGAAAATTTGGTATAAGACGAATTGTTTGTCTATCAAGAAGTTGAACTTCAAATCTCTGTAGTTTTTTCTTATATTTTAATAGTATTTAAACATAACTGGCAATAACTGGTATCCAACACCAAATGTGCCTCTTTTCTCTGTGCTTGTTGTATTTGTAGTGAGCTTGTGTTCGATATAGATCGTATATTACTACGTCCAACACTGACTGCTGTAAATTCTGATATCAAACCTAAAGGTCCTTGGTTTCTCTTCAAGACAAATAGTCCTAGTTTCGACATTATTTTGAAGACTTGCATTCAAATTGTTCTTGATAAAGTATTCGTTTTGTAAAGTTCGTTTTTTCTAACTTTTCATCGCTTGTCGAGTAATTTGTTTTTCTTTTGTTGCATGTTGAACGCCGCCTACAGATTTTTGTTAATAGAAAAAATGAACCACCTATTTAATTGATCTTTATTCAATTTGAACTAAATACTAATATTAATTATTCATAAAAATAATACTCAGAACAATATTTTGCTAACTGATTTTTCATCACTGCACTCTTTGTTCCACAGATGACTATAATCGATTTTATAAAACTAAGACATCTGTTATACTGATTATTGAACACAAGTACACTAAATTTTACTCATTCATTTAAAAAATGTTAATTTTCGCTGATCATCACTGTACAATCTGCTTCATCAATACGCGCACAGTACTTACAGGATTCTCTAAATTTGTGAGATGATTATGTGGTACGCAGTTTTATTGTACGTCCTCCTCACATGCATGCAGATATAGTTTGTTCTTAATACAACGTTTTCTAATTAAACTAAACGAAAAAATTGTTGTTATAATAGTCACTGTTTTCCATATGAAAAAACTAGAATCTTTTTTATAGAAAAATTTTCATAAGTGGATTAATTTTATGCAATAACTTTGTCATGTAAAATATATTAAATCTTTTATTTGTAAATTTGATTTGAAATTATAAATTAGCATTCATTATGCATTATCTGTATGATTTGATAAAGGCAATCATTTCCTCTCAAACCAAAATATTATTATTTTGTCTATTCTCTATTTAGAAAACGTTGGTAAAATAAATGCACAATATAAAAACGGATAAATTGTCATTCTTTACACCTGACACGTCCGAAAAGTTCTCAATTGATGTTAGATATTAAACTAGGTCGAAGAACGGACGGATAAATGACAATTATCGTAAGTTTTTTTCTAACAAAAGAAAAAAGAAAAAAAATCGATTTCAACACAAAGAATCACTTCTTTAACTACTCTCAATTACAACTTCAACGATAAATGAAAAGAAAAAAATATTAGAATATATGTGTGTACATAACAGTTAATGCAATTGTAATCACCTTTTGTTATTGTAATTTTCAGATTGCGCAGTTAGGAAAGCGAAAAAAATCTATTATATGAAGTAGTGTTCATATATAAGTTTCTAGTTGATGCATAAAAGAGACGAGGTCTTTCCATCTTTTATTTAATATTTATGTAGGTAAGTGTGTTTCGTGATCGTCCATTTCCTTTTTATTTTATTCGTGACTACTGTTAGTTAATCAATATAAAAAATTAAATTAAAATACAGAAACTATCGTCATCACCACTATTAAACTGTTTTCCATTGACGTAGGTATACGCTAATTTTAGATGTAGTCGATTCTGCAAATATTCATTCACACATACAAACTTATAGCAGTAAAATGTGTTTATTATGACATGTCAACACCGAAAATAAATCTTGTTGAAATAACGTTAACGAAACAACAAAATTACTGTCAATAGCATTACTATCAAGAACAAAAACTTTTGTTCTTTCTATAACTAAGTTATTGATAACAAGTGCAAATGTGATGGTTCGACTAGACGGAGGCTCAATTAAATTCCTAACTCTCGGACGACTTTGCCACGACCTAGCAAGAACTTGATCATCGAAACTTTTATAGGATAGGATGTAGGGCAAAATTAGTCTTCCTGTAAATGTCTTATCCCATTTTATCTCATTTTTGTATTCCGTTTTATGTAATGACAACTGCTCTCTTTATAACGTACAATGCATACACATATCTCTATTCACTGTTTCACTCATTCAGAAATTTTTAGAAACATTTTAAAATATAATGATTTGTTTTATTTGGGTGACTGAAAGTTTGTCTCGATCCAAATTGGCTAAACTAAAAATCTTGGTAAAG